ACAATTGTTACAAGCTATTAATGCTAGGTCTTAGAACATTCAATGAGATTAATTCAATTAGAGTTTATTGAACACTTAGGTCAATATGATTACAAAATGCGTGTTGACAACAGTATATCATTAATGCTTCTTTTACCCATCAACTAAAAAACCCTAACTACCTCTTTTTTTTTTTATAAGGAAGGTCCAAATAACAAATGTAATGGAATTTTGAGGGTTTTGGGTTAATCAATTTTTGGTTTCTAAACTGGTGGCAAATCTCTTTAACACACTTGGATGAGACAGATGGATAGTTCACATGTTGAAAAAATCAAAGCTTTTTTTACCATGTTAAAATTAATCTACCATGGACAATGGATTTGAGGGCTTGAAAGTGAGGCTAGTCTTGGCCACCTCAAGCAAGGGGCTGTGCGCCTCCCCTCATTTTGAGCTTGCCATTGCTGCTACTCTTGCTCTCTTGGCATTGCTCTGGACTTCCTCCTGAAAAATAGCCCTGCTAGCAGGATATCGTTGTAAATCTGTTCTAGAGTCGTAGTATGCTCTAATGATATATCTGAAAGTTGATCGCAATGGAACAAAGACTTACTGCATTGACGAAAACATGCACCCTCGTACCTGGTGCCACAAACCGTAGTCAAGTGGCACCGACCTTGTAGCCGTCTAAATCCAGCATGCAAATATCATTGAAGTACTTGTGTTAGGCATTCAATACTAAACAACCTTTGGTGTTATAGAATCCACCAAACATGATGAGCTTATGACCCTGTGCCAAAAACGAGAAAATTGTTTTTAGAGATTTTTAAAGAGCAATGGTCACCAATCTATGTCCAGGGGGGCCTTTTAGTTGAAGCTGCTCCTACACAGTTGTGTTGAGATCCAGTCTCCATAAATCCTACAAGAGATCTCTCCTATAAGTCGAGAAGCGAAGGACAACGAAATTGGAAACTCGCCTTTGTGTCAATAGAGATCACCATAAACATAGCAACCATGAACATCAAATCACCATAGCAAAACTAAAGAGGACTCAATCACAAACCTTGTCCTTCATATCACAATTAGCTCAGTGTCTTTGACGCCTTAAACGCAAAGAAAAGAAGTCTTAAAAGAATGTGGGCTTCCAGAGTGGAGATTTTGATACGCACAGATGGTGAAGGAGCTGCCACTATCTCATCTTCGATGTAATTTAGCCTGAGAATAAGGAAAACGACTGATAGTCCAAACGGGAATGTGCAATATTGCAGAAATTTCTTCGTCATTTTCTCTAAATCCTAAATGAGGGAGATTCCTAGTGAATATGTAGCTTCCCAAAAACTGGACCTCTGGCAAATGCGTTGTCATTGTAAGCTTTTCGGGGAAGCTTTAAGATATCATTGAACTCGCCATTAGACCTATTCTAATTCTAAATAAACACGCCCATATCTATTCTTGTAACCCAAAACAGATCTTAAACACGGATAGGGTCTAATCCTCGGCCATGGGAGCGTTGGTTACAAGTAAGCTTGTGCACCCATGCGCCATGATGGTTTGATCTGATGTGTTTGCAGATGAAGCGTTCCGCCTGAGATTCGTCTCGGAGTCAAATGTGGGAGTTCTATACGACGCTCTGGAAGTGGTGCTTAAAGAGTCCACTTTCACTCGCATCGCTTCTCTTCTCCAATCCAGTGGTTGGGGAAAATGGCGCATGATTGCGAGCTGCATCGGAAGAATGTTTGGGTCGTCTACTGTTCCCTGCAACTTGGGGCAGGTTATCCAAAGAAATCCTACATAGCAGACTGGTTCTATGCGGACGGGCTGAGCATAGATTTTCATGCTCAACTGGACTGCATGGCTTTCTGCCTGGCTTACATAATAGCTTGCATTGAACAGGTTGCTAAGGCCGCAGAGGAAGCGATAAACCAGGAGACCTTCGTACAGTCTCTCTACATGGGTAACGAGACGGGAATATGTTCAGTATACGCTCTTGATCATGTATATATAGCTATGATGTTATATATTGACTATTCTTAGAATCACCCTTGTCCATCATATCTCTTCAGAGTAAACTTCTGGAAAGATGTCAAGGTGAGGATATTGGGTATGTATCCGACACTGCTGGATCAACTGAACGTCTTCTATGAACCGGAGGAAAGCAGGGAGGAGAACTTTTACTCTTGGGAAACAGAGGCGCAGACGATTATGCAGGAGGCCGTCTGTCACCTGCCTCAAAAGGCAGGACTTCGACTGTTGCTCGTCTTTGACGAAGCAAGGGAATTGCTCGGTAGCGGGATAGACAACAACATTTCCCTACCTTTGCGCCGTGCAACAGCAGCGCTTCAGCCGGATGACGGTGTGCTGGCGGTCTTCTCAGATACTCATTTCCTGTTACCAAATTTCGCCATCAGACAGGCTGGCTTTAGAAGCTTTTAGCCTGGCGTCTCCGAGTTGGGGCTGCTTCTGTGCAGATATAGGAGTCAAGCAGTGGGCTGAAGTTTGTCAAGCTCACGGACTGGATGCGGGTATACTATCAGAGCACTATCCTCTGCAGTATGGACGGCCTCTGTGGTGGGCTGTCTTCCGCGGCGCTCTAGCCAAAAGGCTCACACCCATGCGAAAGGTGATAAATATGGCACGCAACAAGCTACTTGGAGGCGTAAGCGCGTGGAATACTTACGAGCATCTGACAACGGCTGCCGCTTTAGCTGTGTTAGGGGCGAGGTGTGCCATCGACTTCGATCCTACCTGTAGCCTTACAAGCAAGCTGGTCGCGGCTCATCTCATGACCGTCGTCAAGGTGGAGCCAAATCGCGAGCAAATCTGGGTCGGCACGGCTATGGAGCCCGTTCTCGCACAGGCTGCTGCCCAGGTGATGAGGAAGCTGGATGAAGACAAGAGGAACGTTGAACTATACTCTCACCTGCAAGAGGTGCGGGGAGGTTTATAGAGGCTTCAAAGGGGATCTGGTGGCTAGGCTCTCCTTCTACGGGCTTTTGATAAAGCAAGCGGCGAAGAGAGTTCCTGTACCGTGGACAAGTTCATCGAGCACTTGGTTGGGAAGTCTCTGACAGAATTTGCTAAGTACAGGAGCGGGAAGCAGCAGGCGATGCAAGTACAGGAGTTAAGGAGCTTGGACACCGACCAGCTGAAGGAGTTTGCGCGTGGCAAGTTGACGTGCACATCCTTCCACAAGATACATAAGCCGAGCTTCAAGGTGGATGCCCAGGACATAAGAGAATGTCTTGAGCGAAGGTGTGCGATCATCTGCTACGACGGGACATGGGGAGTCGACTTCTTTCTGCCATGGTTGCTAGAAGACGCACAGGTGACTTTGGTGCACGTACAGGTGAAGCTCCGTATCACCAATCCGGGAGATGGTGGCTTAGCCAAGGTGTCGCCGCAGTACGGTGGGGTCCAAATCTCAGACGCGCTTCCTTTCTTGAGCCTCTACATGAACGTGGGCGATATTATGGGGGCAGAGGCGGTTCTTGTGGATCCGTACGACGTCGAAGCTGCACTGAGGAAGAACATGAAGACGAAAGCTGTGAGCTTGGCCATAGCAGCCAAGGACAAGGAACAGGTGGAAGAGGAGTTTTCGGAAACGGAAGAGTCTGCTGAACCGGACGAGGTGCAACTTGAAGCCCGTATGCGGAGGCTTCATCTAGACTCATTGGAGCAAAGGCAGGAGGTGGCGTGGCTAAACATGGAGAGAGACAATCAAGTCATCCTCAAGGTAGCTGGCCTTGGTGCATTTGCTGGTGTCTTGGGCGAAGACCTGCTGCGACTATTTCACGCTATCCATAAGATCGATAAGGTCCCCATGTTGGACAAGCACAACAAGCTTGAGAAGATTCAGGGCCCTTCACTGCAGAGCATGTTCCCAGTTGCTAACATTCTGAAAGATTAAGCAATCTAAATAAAACCACAGCATAAGCATGGTGCTCTTGGTCGACGCTACGTGTGCGATAGAGCTCTGAGCAAGGTTTTTCATCCTGTCTTTGAGAAATAAAGACCAAACTCTTCAAAATGCAAGCAAGGCCCATTATCAGAAGAGTGTGCTCTTGTACAGTTCAGTAACCAATGCTGAAACTTTCTGCAGAAGACTCAATATAAGAAATAGAAATGTGGCAACTTTAGTGTTCAGACAAACCTGCATTTTTTAAGCGAATGTCTCTTCTAGAGTTATCCATTTGGTTTAGTGGTGGGTGCGATTTCATGCTACATCTTTTTAAATATTGCATTAAAGTGAGATTAGTAAAGTCTAGGACTATTTGCATATTCCTTGATCGCATATCCATGGTGGGACGAATTGTTAAAATAACGAGGGGAATTTTCCATGGTGAGCGACCCCTTCTTCGCATATCCATGGTGGGAGGACGCATTGTTAAAAAACGAAGGGAACTTTCCATGGTGAGCACACACGTTAGCGTCATGGATCTAGCGAGTGCGCGCAGGTGGATTTGGATTGTCAAGTATGGAGCTGGAATATGTGCGTGCCCTCCACCACTTTGGAGCCACTGATTCTTCGCACCACGACCGAGCGAGCGAGCGAGCTCTTCTTCTTCTTCAAGCCGCTGTCTCCAGTTCCTCGCTGGAAGAGGAGGAAGAAGAGGAGCTTGCAGATCTTTCCAAGTGCCTCCTCGATCCTGCTGGGAAAGAGAGGATGATCAATCCCGGCCTCCTTTTGCTTGCAATCCTGGTAGCTCTGATGGTGGCTGTGATACTCTCTGGGTGTGTGCTGGGCATCCTCCGGCATATGGATCTCACCAAAGTGGAGAGCAAGCAGCTCCATTTCGTCTACAGCATTGGGCGACACCATCACGCCAGCGATCAAAAGCCGCCGGCGGAGCACGAGCAGAGCCATCAATCGCCGCGCGAGCAAGAGGAGGAGGAAGAAGAAAACCAGGCATTTGCATCGTCCGTGTGATCAAACAGCGTGTAGCACCACTGCGCGATCGATCGATCGCGATCACTTAGTAGCCCGATCAAGATGTTTTGATCGAAGGCTTGTTCTTAAACAAAGAAGGAAACGCTCCCAGTGGAAAGAATCTCTTTGATTTAGTGAGAGAGGCCTGGACAAGTTTCTTCCTCTCTCGGGAAGAAAATCTCTAATCCTGTTCTTCCTGGCTGTTTTAGGAGGTATTTGGGCGATCTCTGGCGCGAGGATGGAATCGCCCGCTCCACCAATCTCAGCTCATTGGAACGAGGCGAGAGACATCCGGCGAGATAGCACGAACGTAGGCGCTGGGAAGTGACACGAGCTTCTTCCACTTGCCAACGTAGGCTCTTCGCTTGAAATTGTCGTAATCGTTGGCCTCGATTGAGTCTAGAATCTGCTGGTACAGCAGCAGCGAAGCCCACACCTGGAAAAAAGCCACGCTAGAAAACGTAAGCGATCGAAAGCGCTAGAAAGCGAAGCTAGAAAACGTGCTGTTGACTTACAGGCCACCGGCTGTCTTTGTCTAGCTCCATGACACCCAGCTCGGCCTCCTTGAAGAACATCCGAGCTCTCGTTATCTGGTCCTTCATGAACGCTCTCCACTTGTTAGTAACTTTGCCCGCGAAGATGTCCTCGTCCGATAGGCCGAACTTGGCGAGCTCGTCTTGAGGGAGATAGACTCGTCCTCTCCCGGCACTGGACAGCAAATCAAGCTTGAGTTTTCTCAAAAGCAAAGGATGATCTCAGGCTCACTCTTCCCCGACGTCCCGGAGAATGTTGGTTAGCTGATTCGCGATGCCCAAGGCCAAGCCGGCATTGTAGACGCTCTCCACGCTAGCGTTGGATTCCGGCGCAATGCCCATCACTGGCACGCTCATGAGTCCCACAGTGCCGGCGACGTAGTAGCAATACAGGTAAAGCTCGTCAAAATTTTTGTACCTCGACTTTACCAGATCCAGTCGCATGCCTTCTATCATGTCCCGGAACGGCTGCATGAACGATTCGAAGGAATGATCAGCATATAATATCCGCAAGAGAAGTGTCTTTAGAATACCTGGATGTCAACCGGATACTTCGAAACAGTGTCTGCCAGTGCTCCATCGAGCATGTCAAAAGGCCTTCCAACGAAGAGATCTTCTAGCCTTTGCTCCCAGCGATCCAGCGCCGTGGGAGTTATGTGTGCTGCGTTTGGCCCGTCCACGAGCTCGTCAGTTCTCCTGCACCACACTAGCTCAATAGAAAACAAAAAACAAATCACGGATGCCGCAAAGGAAGTAGAAACAAAACAAAGAAAAAACAAAGAGTTCTTCTAGATCAACTCACCATATATCGCCCAGATCGCTTTCCTTCTCTCTGGAGTCATCAGCAAAGTCCCTACAAACACCACACCATTCGTGAGAAGAATCATTCGCGCGTTTAGAATCGTCCCACCTAGATAGAAGGTCTTGGCATATTCGGCACAAATCTCTCCACACCTGGTATACGCCTCTTCCAAGAGATCTCTGTTCGTCACAGGGATCGCTGGGAACTTCTCGAGCTTCCCCAGCTTCTCGACCAAGGCAGCTTGCTTGAGCACCACATCGTAAACCTTTTGCTGCGATGGCAGCGCCGCGGGGCTATCAGCGATCATGGTGGAGAAGACCCTGTAATCCGGCACGTTGTTCGCTCCCACGGGGCTTCCATCCACGCCCACAGACGCTCGCAGCCGCAATCCCTTGGCTCTTCTCCTCGCCGCGGCCCCCGCCGGCGCTGTCCAGCTCTTGGCCGCCTCGCGCAGCTCCCCGGCATCGACCGAGCAGCAGCAGTGGCACGACGAGCTCGACACGGCGCGCATTCTCGATCGGTGCCTCGCCTCCTATGATTCCTATCCCCGGAAGAGAATGCCCGATCTTTCCCCTCGAAATATCACCGATGCCGATCGAATGCGCCGAAACCGGCCAGAGAATCCGCCACAGCTACCTCAAATCCAGAGAAACCGAGCGCGTTCCATCCTCGATCGACGAGCATTTTGGCGCATCCATCGCCCGTGCCACAAAAGCTCGCACACCAGATCGACGGTCTTATACCTGCCACGTCGAAGATCAGGGCACCCGATCTTGGGGCCTCCAAGCGCGACACGTGGAGAGATAACGCTGGAGGGTTCGGCCAAGCATCTGGGCGGAGAATATTCAATCACTTTATTCCACTCCGCTACCAACAAAGTTTTTTCTCATTACGCCAAATGGAAAGGTCTTACAAGATATTTATCGCACACGTGGTAGTGGAATTTGACACGGAGCTCGATTCCTGTTAGCGTCACTTAAAAGAATCTTGGATCCGTGCTCAAACTTCTCTTTGACACGAGCGCTCAACTATAAAACCAGCGATGGAATGGAATCGTTAGACCAACTGTGGTGTGGATGAAAAGAAGATTGTCACATACCACTAGGAATTTTTGCGCGTTTGATTCCCAGGAGAAGATCGTTGTGGAGGCGGCAGTGAAAGTGGTGCATCGCCTCTTCCACTTTGGGTGCGTAACGTCCCGCGTCATACGACAAGGACTCGAGCCCTTGCTGGACACTCTGACATAGAGTTACGTCTTCTCTCTAAGAAAAACACGCAGCTTTTTCAGCACAAACCAAAAAAACTAAGATGAATCGTACCTGGACTTGATCGCTTTCCTCGAGACTGCTAGCGATGAATTCTTTGTCCTGCTGTGGTGAAAAGAGTGAGCGAGCTGCGAGACGAGATTGCGGAAGCTTACGCAGAACTGTGGCTCCAGGTAGTAGTCAAACACAACCTGACACTTGTTTGGAGCGATTGGAAGAACCAGGTTGGTGTCCATCCATGGCCCATACCTGTTGTTTGGAGTCAGAGCAAAAAAAAAATAGAAAACCGAAGTGTATACCTGTTGATCATGAAATTTGGATACACGAAAGCATACGTAGCGCGCTCTCCAAGTCTTTCCTCTCCAGTGTTCTTGGACCTGCAGCTTTGGATGCTCACAGTTTCATAAAGCTAATCACATAAAAAAAAAAAAGTAAAGAGAGAAACAAATAAATAAAAACCGAAAACCAGAGCTTACCACAGTTTTATACGATGCGAGATCCAATCCCTTTGCCAGCCCCGGATGTGCAAAAGGTACGTGATATCCACCATCGAGATAGTTATCACAGTACACCTGTTGACATTGGAAAGCGTTAGCTTTTGATGCATTTTATACAAGAAAAGAAAAGAAAACACATACTTTCCAGTTGCAGTCGATAACGTAGTCTCTCCGTGCAACATGTCGTAAGGATCTATCAATACCGGCCGCAACTAGCAAATCAGAAGAGGATCCAAGCCACTCGACTGCTACAAGTTCCTGATTTGCTTGAGCATCGAGATTAATGAGCACAAAAGGCCCCCATGCAGCCACTTGGATGGGAACCAAGCCACTTTCCTGTGAACGCATGACACGATCAGACAACACACAAAAGAAGAGAAGACTCAGCTTACCCGTGGATTGAAGTTCTTAATGCCTGTAATACGAGTGGCCTTTAGAAGATTACCATCGAGGCCGTAGGTCCATCCCTGCAAGAAAAAAAAAGGCAAGTTAGTTTTACAGGCCAGAGAGATTGTTCACAGACATGATAAGGACATGAAAACGAAGGCGTACATCCAGAGCCAGAAGCAACAGGCGCAGCATGATGCCTACAGACATTGTGAAATGCATGAAGCTGACCTTGCTCGTCTCTGCAAACAACGTATCTCACTCGCCCGAGGCTGGATAAAACTCAAGAGAATGAAAAGTTTCTCAACATGACTCAAAAATACCTTCCAGTGAAGAACTGCCTCGGGTTTTCCAGCTGCTCGACATAACCTGGTTAGAAAACGGGCATTGTTGACAAGCAAAACCGAAAGAAAGTGAAGTACCTGCGGCATGCCAACCTCTTCCAAAGATGCACTCCATCTCGAGTGACGCGAGCGAAGAACTCCAGTACCAGGAACTGGGTGCTGTCAAAGACTCTTCCACCGGCTTGCCACCATCAAATTGAGCTACTTTGAGCGCGCAGTCTTCGAGTTCTACAGCACCCAATCGGCAAACACTTCGCTTGGAACTTAAGGAGCATCTTTTCGAAGAGCTTTGAAGCAGGTTCCCTGAGAACTGGAACTGGAGTCGTAGAGCAGCCATTTTCTGTAGCCTTCCCTAACCCCCAAACAACACTTGTAAGGAAAATACTATTTCCATTGCAGCGGATCCAGTTTCACAAATTAGCTTGCAATAAATTGGCCTAGCTATGTACCTATTCCAGTGACTTGAGCAGCCTGAAAAGGCCCGCGGCCTCTCTGATGCGGGAAAACTCGATGCAGAACGCTTGAACTTCGATAAACAGATCGTGAACTGTTACACCACAAACTAACGTTAAGTCCTCAGTAAGAGAAAAATGTTTTTCGTTACCGTTTATGATTCTATTGCGAATGAGGCTCGTCAAAAAGACGCACACCAGTCTCACCAATCGATTTTGCATGTACTTGTCCTGCTAAGAAACCGAATGAGCAAGCCATGCTCACTTCTAGGCCACTCCTACCTTCATATTCTCGCATGAAGATATGCAATTGTTAATGTAGGCATGGATATATTCGACAGGGATCTGCACGGCCGTTGTCAGGCGATTGACGACTTCCATGGAGTGTAGGCTCATGTCCATGCTTACAAGCGCGTTGAAATACCTGTAGAAACCGAAGCGAGATAAACAACTTGTAATCTCCACGGACGTACTTACTCGGAGCTTTGTACCGAGTTCATCAGCTTGAGAAGAACCTCAACTGCAATAATAGGATTGTTTTCAACGAGTTCCTAATGATGAGAGATTGATAAGCCAAACAGCCTAAAAGAGTGCCATACGTACTGGTAGTCTACGCGGCGTGAGACCACAGTGATAGACAAGCTTCGGATCGGACTCCAGCTCTTGAAGAACTTGCTGTAAATTCGTAAAACTATGAGCACAAGGCATCTACAAGTAGAAGCAACCTGCTGTTGTGCCGGAGCTAGTGCGCCTTTCAAAGCCCTTGCGATAAGTTCACGGACTGCAGCACCCCGACTTGAATCCGCACACATCCCAGAATGCCATAAGAGGTCGTGTTCGCTGTCTGGAGTAAGCCAAAGAAGCTTGTCACAAAACGAAATGATTGATTAGCTAGCTTGAGTTATGAGTATGGGCAATCAACAGCCTACCTCTTCTTTGCGAAGTGGAAACTTTGGAGGGATCGGTCTGTCCCATGCCGGCTCCAATCCTTTCAGAGTGCTGGCTTGCATCAGCTCGATGGCTGCCAACTCGCCACTCTCAGATTCAGAGACTCCCGTTTCCAGACCGTCCGAACTGTACCCGGACGGTAAATCCGGGTCTGGGAGTACGTTTCTGATGGCAGCCTTGCTAAAGCAATTCGGTCCAGGCAAGAAACTTACAGCCTTTTGTGGCGCTTGCTTTTGCACTTGGTCTTTGGTAGGCGCCTAGGAAGAAACTCTACGTTTACACATAGATATAAGGAGGAAAAAAGAAGCAAAACTCACTTGGAGGGATCCATCAAAGGTAGTCACGAAGTCACTGGGCGTTCGTTTCTCAAACTGCAATGAGAAGAACATGAACTCTCAACTTAGATCCAAGCAGCTCACCTCTTTGTTACCGCTACGAATCAATGTGACAAGAAAACCTCTCTCGAGCTTCGCAACAGACTCGTCGGCAGTGAACTGTGGAGAAGAGCTTAGAAAAACAATGGAGGAAATATCTCCAAACAAAGAGGCTAGCCATGGACTTACCCGGAGAAGAAACGAGACGAATGGATTCGTCTCGGTCTGTGTGATATACAAGCTGTGGAGAATGTAGAGTGCCACGAGCCGCTGTTCTTTCTGGAGAATGATCCCTTCCTAGCCGATCATCGCAACTATGAGGGAAATGGGGCAAAATCTTGCTTCCACGGTACCTGGAGCAGCAGCACGAGATTGCACGAGAGCTGGAAGTGCATCGTCGCATCGAACTGGCGAGTGAAAACCTCCACAGCGCCGGCGAAGGTGAGCTCCCTGTCGCTCAGGATCGCCATGAGAGCCGCCGAGTCCTTGGGCAAGAGTCCCTCCTCACCCATCGAGCCTCAAAACCCTAATCCACTGAGAACGTGTTAAAGTTAAAAATGTGGGGAATGTCTATTAGCTTAACTCTAAACAGATCCACCGTACGGCCAGACCACCAATGTTCTTCCGTACATTAAAAATTGGAAAGAACATTTGCTATGCTATATCTAGCTCTCTTCCGCGAGAGAAAAGCAAAAAATAATCCCAGCAACGTGGTGGTGGGCTACGATCATTCCCAGTCGATATCATCGTCGCCAACGTCAGCAGCTCCAGCAGCTCCAGCCTCTGCCAAAAAACCAAAAGCTTAGCAAAGCTTAGCGATGGAAGCGAATGAAATCGGAGAACGCAAACCTGTGGATGGAGCTTCTTCCTCCCATTCTACATCGTCTTCGGCATCGTCTCGCTTCGACTTGACCCCCACAACACGATCTCCAGCAATCGCAGCAAAACCATTCTCTTGATCCGGTTCTTCCTTCTTGACTTCGTCCAGAGCATCGCCTGGCGGCTGTTGCTGCTGCTGCTGCTGCTGCTGGAGCATCAGCGCTGCGTAATAAGCCTTCACGTATTCCTCCTGTAGTTGCCTCTCGGCGGACATGGGCTTCTCGTCCATCGTTGGCGCTACGGTTGGCTTTGTATCGGAGGAAGCACCCTCCTCGGTCTTAACTTCGCCCCGTTGCTGTGCTGTTAGAGACATTCCCTGCCGTATCATCCAAGGCGGAAGAACTTTCATGGATTTTCCAGGATCCTCTTTGACAGCCTCCTTCGTATCCGAGCCAGCAAAAGCCACTTCCACCTGATAGAAACGATGCAACATGAGAGGTGGTCTTGACGAGAGAAAAAAAAAACTCTTGCCTTGGTTTCGCCCAGGAACGGCATCGGTACGCTCGGTCGTTCTCCATTAGCAGTTTTATGATCACCGTCTCCGTCGCCCCTGGCCTGCGCCAGCGTCCTTTCTTGCCATTGCGAAAATGATCCATAGTCCGGAGGGGTCAGATCTTTCAGCTTTGCGAGCTGGTCCGTCAAAGGCTTTAGCTGGACCTGTGTGGAAACGACGTTAGCAAAACCTTTGACAGGCTAGAACATACAAACCTCCATGCGCTCAAGCATCTCCTTGAGTTTCTCGCGCTGGCGCCGCCTCGCGTTTTCCTCATTATTCCCTTCGCCAAGGTCTTTAGGCGCTAGCTTATCATTGTTTGCAACAAGCTCGGCATCACATCTCTCGCAATGGAAGTTCATATCCACTGGGCTGATCAGCCTTGATGCATCCAGAGCGGAGTATCTTCACAGAGAAAATACAGGACTGTGAGAAAAGAAATGCACTATTAAGCAAAAACGACTCTCTTTAGCTGGCAGCAGAGCAATTCGACGCGCTTACCTCCTACCACAACCAGAGTCCGGACAAACATACTCTTGCACAGTGTTCTTGTCCTCGAGTTCGTCCTTGATCATCTTTTTCGCGCGGTGTATCCTATATCTAACAACATCGCAAATCTGTGACACGAAGGAATCAAGAGCCAAGTAAGATTCACGAACGTCTACTGCTATACCTGAGCATAATCTAAGCAGCAGTACGAATGTAGAAGAGCCTTCGTCTTCTCGTTGGCAGGACCACCTTGTTGCTCGCCATCAGCGACAGCCACAGCTGCATTATAAACCTTTGCATTCTTGGTCGTCTGAAAGAAAGAGCTAAGATAGATGCCGAAGCGCAAAAACAAGGAAAAGAAAAAGAAGAGAGCAAAAACCTCTTTGTGGTCCTCTCGAATCACCAGCATCTCGTCCTCGAGAACTCTGAGCGTCCGGCGGAGCTGCTTTGGATGGAGCTTGAGCCTCTTGGCCAGCTCTTCCTCTTTCACCCATTGTCTTCTGTCATTCTGATCCCATGAATCATCTGATCACAGCCCAAAGAAGCTAGATGCCTGCAGCGCTGATTTTCTTTACCTCGTCAGCGCATCCAGCACCACCACACTGATCCCCTTGTTGTCCGATTTGCCGGACTTGCCAGGGTTTGCGCCCTTGTGGGGGATCTCATCGTCGTAGAACGCTCGCGCCACCAGCCTCACGAGCCTGGCAAGCAAGGAAGAATTTAGAACGAGGCGCCGGGCGATCGCGCCTACCTCCTGAAGGGCTCCGACGTCATTGACGAGCAAATGGCCTTACCCTAGAGCATACGAGGGCATATCCCAATATCATAATCCTAAAATCCTTAAACGGGTTTATTAAACTACTTAATTTGTGTTTAAATTTGACAAACATGGGTGTTTTCACTCGAAGGAGTTTATCATGCAGAATTCCTCGAGCTTCAAACTGACAAAAAGAACTCTCGAGCACTTCGTTAAGTAGCCTCTCTAGATCTGTAACATCCAACTTCCATGATCAGAGTAGCAAAAAGCTTACATGAACTTGTCAAGCCGAGGAAGGAGCCTCCGAGTTGAAGCTTGCTTGTCTGCTGGAGGGACCTCTTCAATCCCTTTGCGGAAACTAAGAGCACGTCATACGGCGTTTCCTCACACACGTTGATCCAAATCGGGAATCCTTTACTGAGTACGCTCTGAGTTCCACCGCGTGCCATCGCGTCCGGTTTGTTTCCTGGCTGCGCTGCTTCTTCCTGCTGCAGTACAGTGTCGTTCGTAATCGCAGGCACCAGGCTAGAGAAAGAACCTGAATGGAGAGTGTAAAAGGAAACAGAACAATGCGAGTACCAGACTTCCATAGGGACGCCTGGTGCGTCCCGCAGTGGTGTGAAGCTGCCAGAGGATGGATTCGCTGGCCCCTAGAGAACCAAAAAGAAAGAAAACTTGTCAAGAAGTTGAGCAGGAATAACTTCACTGTTTGCTTTGACGCATGGCTTCTTCGAACGCAGTCTTTTCTTCGTTAAACAGTGTCTGCTGCAACGAAAGTAGAGGATCGGGAGGAGGATTCGCGAGGTTGAATCAGGATACAGGATACTACTTGCATTGGTATCTCCTTTCGTGAAAAATCTCCGGAACTGTTTTACGTAGGAAATTTTCAGAACGGCAAGCAGAACGGTATTTACCTCATGTCAAGACTTGAAAGATGCATTGCTTCTTCGATGCCTGGCGAAAGCCGCTGCTCGATTTTATTGTTTGAGGAATCCGATATCCTGCGAGTATAGTTGATGTCAACAACTGTCTGTAAGAAGAAAAAAGAAAAGAGTTGTGATCCTTTCAACAAATGCTCAAGTACCGAGAGAGACGAGGAGGCTTCATCCGCGAAAGACCGTTCCCCGTTGGAACCAAAACCAAAACTGGAGTGCTGAGCGGATGAACTCTGAAAAGATCCCGAAACTTTCCATTGAATTGAATTCGACCGACCTGTTCGAACTGATATGAGGAAAAGGAGCAAGGAAAAAGGAGATGATACCATGTTTGCGTCGTCATCGAAGCAGGAAAACATATGGAAAGACTGCTGTGTTCGAAGATCTACACCAACAACGAAGAACAAGAACTTTTTTTTTTCATACGCAGGAAGGAATAAAATCAGCAAGAATTCTGATGGAAAGAAGCCACAGAATTATTTCTTATCCCAATGCGCGCAAGGTACTGCTTGTAGATTCATACTCATTTTGAAACGATAGAAAAGAAAAGGTTGTCATGAAAAACCAAGATATAATAAAAAGTTCACTTTGAATTAAAAAACTGCTAAACAGAAGTTGCGTGATCCGTTAGCAGGCCCAAGTCTAGAACCGTCTCCCCTTCGACATGCACTTCATCAAAGAGCTCTTGCCACTTGAATCGCAGAACGTTTCCATCGATTGCTTGGATCACTTGAGTCTCGGTAGTCTGCCTGTCCCTGTAATACACAACAGAAGGATCACCAACAATGATCCCCAAGGCAACCTTGGCCCCGCCTCGCTCCCCAACAAGCACTTCCATATCATCAAAAACAGCCCGTGGATCTTCATTGCGATATACAACTTGGGCTGCCAAGATTACCCTTGCCTTCTTGATATTGCGGTCCTCCTTTGATTTCTCTAGCACAAACAAATCCACTTGCTGGTACCGATCATTTCCGATTTCCATCAAACCTCCAGGAGACAAAGAGACTTGCCGGCTGCTCCCCAGAAACACGACCCCCAGCCTTTGGAATTCCTGGAGGAGCTTTGCATGCAGCCAGTACCTTACCTGTTCATGATGGTCCGTGTAATCTGCTTGGATGAAAAGTGAGCCAGACTTCCACAGCATGTTCCGCTTGTAAGCCCGGCTCTCGTTATACATTTTGAGGAACCTATCTCTGGGAACTTCACCTGATACAAAGACTGGCCCGGTGTTGTCTCCTATCTTCTCTACTGCAGCATCCATCGCCCTAAGCCACGCTTCGATGTCTGGATCATTCTCTGGAACAGGGTGGTACTCCATAGAAACCCTAGACCTAAACGATCCACCAGTTAAGAATATCAAGGTCAAGGATATCCTCGCATATGTTTCCCTCTGATTAACTTCAGTGTCTTCAGATACAAAAACGAAGAGCCTTTATTTTTTCCAAAGGTCCACCAGATTCAATTCATTGCTTGGTCCAACTGCACTCGCATCCTGATTCGAGGATTAGAACTGCGTGTTCATTGGTACCATGAATCAAGTTTACATTGGAAAGAGCTCTTGATGAGAGGAATGCTGCAATAAACTTCCTGGATCATCAGAAATCTACACTTTAGCTAGAAATTTGGCTCTGACTCTTAAAAGTTCCTGAAAGAACTTTAAAATTACCCTTTTTGTAAAGTCTTTATGTTGTCATGCAAGCCCGCAATACTTGTATGTTCCCAGACCACTGCTAAGGAAAGGAGAAAACCAGCTTGTAGAGCTTGAGAACACTGTGCTCCCAACAAAAACGTTCCAAATTCTTGGGGAGCACAACTGGACTTGCAGCAAAAATTGGCAAATCAAACTTGGATGTCTGTCTTTCATCCAACAAAGTCAATGTTCATGATTGGTTTCTCCAAAATTGTTGTGATCGATGAAACTCTTTGAGTGCCTATGCAACACTCTTGAAATTGAAACCAGGAAGCTCAGCCAGTTTTGCTAGGAAACTTTTAAAGATTGAAATTTATATGTCCTCAATATGATCCCACATTTAAGAGAACCACTACAAGTGGTCTAATTAATCTCTAAGTTGGAGAGACTATCCTCCTTAGAGGATGGGTAAGGCATGGTGAGCCTTTGGTATCAAACCATTGACAAATATTGGTGAGGTGCTAAGAATGGAAAGAGTAATACATGTTGATATTACTTTATAAAAAAAATTATCGTTCAATGAGGACATCGAACTTCATTTATGGGTGGTGGAGTTGTGAGACACAAAATCCCTAGGCCCAAAGTGGAGCCAAAAGGGTGCCACGTGGTAGTGGCCGAAGCGAAAGCCAAATGAATGTAACACGTTTGGACTAAAAGCTCTAATTTAAAAGGTTAAGAATAGGAGTGGAACTCTCAACGAAGTGCTCAAAGAACAAGCACAAAGCAAGCAATAAGTGAGTCTCTAGAAAAGGGACATGAGATGGACCCGAGATGGAGTCCGAGATGGAGTCTAAGATGGAGTCCGAGATAGAGTCTGAGATGGAGTCCAAGATGGACCAAAATGGAGTCCGAGATGGAGTTTGAGATGGAGTCCAAGGTGGACCCAAGATGGAGTCCGAAATGGACCCGAGATGGAGTCTGAGATGGACCGAGATGGAGTCCGAGATGGACCCGAGATGGACCCGAGATGGACCCAAGATGGAGTCCGAGATAGACAAGAGATGGAGTCCGAGATGGACCTGAGATGGAGTCCAAGATGGACCGAGATGGAGTTCGAGATGGACCTGAGATGGAGTCCGAGATGGAGTCTGAGATGGACCCGAGATGGACCCAAGATGGAGTCCGAGATGGACCCGAGATGGAGTCCAAGATGGAGTCCGAGATGGAATCCGAGATGGAGTCCGAGATGGACCTGAGATGGACCCCAGATGGAGTCCGAGATGGACCCGAGATGGAGTCCGAGATGGAGTGCGAGATGGAATTCGAGATGGAGTCTGAGAAGGACCTGAGATGGAGTCCGAAGTCGAGATTGAGACCGAGACCGGGACCGAGACTGAGATTGAGACCGGGACCGAGACCCAGATTGGGATCGAGGCCGAGGCCAAGACCAAGCCCGAGTTTGAGTCCGAGTTCGAGTCCAAGATGGAGTCTGAGATGGAATCCGAGATGGAGTTCGAGATGGACCTGAGATGGAGTCTGAGATGGACCTAAGATGGACCCAAGATGGAGTCCGAGATGGAGTTCGAGATGGAGTCCGAGATGGAGTTCGAGATGGAATCTGAGATGGAGTCCAAGAAGGACCTGAGATGGAGTCTGAAGTCGAGATCGAGACCGAGACCGGGACCGAGACCGAGATTGAGACCGGGACCAAGACCGAGACTGGGATCGAGGCCGAGGCCAAGACCGAGCCCAAGCCCGAGTTTGAGTCCGAGTTCGAGTCCGAGTTTGAGTCCGAGTCTGAATCCGAATCCAAGTCCGAGTCCAAGTTCGAGTTTGAGGGGGTGAAAGCCCAAAGCGTTCGTCTCCCAGACCTTGGGGGGTTTGGTGAGCTCCAAAAGTATAGTAGGGGGAGGACTCTAGTGGAGCTAGTTTGGCCAGGAAAGGCTAATTTGGCCCAGGAAGGCTGCACCCAAGTGTTGGGTGATGGGATAACCACTGGGAAGTCCAAGATTAGAGTGAATACGGACCGACAAGTGGGGTAGTTTGGTGAAGTGTTCAAAAGCTGGCTTTAGTTCCCCCGGGAAATCGAATGGTCGATGTTCCCAGTCCAAGTGTGGGTGGCACTACCTATTTGGATACTTGGTGTGGCTCAACGAAACCTCACTCTAAGCCCATGGCTAGAGCACCCAAAGGCAGAAGGCGGGGAGAGTACCCATGAGGCATGCATAGGGCCACGGTGTTCCGAAATATTGTCCCAAAGTCCCAGACTGTGGAAAGAAAGAGGAGTAGCCCTTTTTTTTGGTGACCAAGGACACAATCACACGGTGAGGAAGTCCCAAAGGCCCATGGGACTTAGTGGTCGGGCCTGTGGGGCTTGATTTAGTGGCAATGTTGGTAAACACAGCCATAGACAAAAAGGGACTTGGTGAGGACTGGAAAAGAGATATTGGGGAAAGCTA